CACTTCTGCCACTTACCTAATAGGAACTCCCTGTGCCACAAAGCAGCCCTCTTGTCCTTTGGGTGCCACCAAGAGGTGTCTGGCTCCATGTTCCCTTCAGTGCCCATTTTGTAGCTGAAAATAGGAATTGTATTGCCCTTTTCTCCAGGCTGAGCAGACCTGGCTCCCTCAGTCTCCAGCCATCTTGGTGGCCTTTGCAGCCTTGCCTGCCTCAGTGTGTCCTGTGCTAGGGGCCCAAAGCTGTGCAGTACTGCCAGTGTGATTTCATGAGTGCTGAAGAGAGAGAAGTGTCATTTTCTGCATCTGCTGGCCATGCTCCTGTCAATACTGTGCAGTATTCATTAGCCTTCGCTCGCTGTGAGGTTGCACTGCTGACTTATCATCAGTTTGTCTGCTGTGACCCTGAGGTCCTTCTCTGCAGAGCTGCTCTCATTCAGTCAGGAGCATGCTTGGTTTTTGGGACTGCTCTGTTCCAAGTATAGGACTTCACATCTTGCCTCAAGTAGGGCAGTCGGACCCTGCTTCCTGGAGACTGTTAGAACAATTACGTGTGTGTGGAGCAGGGGTTGTTACTAATGAGAATAAAATGTTTTTTCTTAAAATACAAATCTGAAAGTTGCAGATAAAGGTCTCTGCCAGAAAGCCTATTTTTTATTATAACCTGTCATACCCCATTTTCTTCCTGATAATGAAAGCACAGAATGTCATTTACATCTGAAGCTATTCCTGCAGTAGGAATTATTTTCTTTTGTTTGTTTTTGCTGTGCACTAACGAGTTAAGTGTCTTTAGAAAATCTTCCTTTTATTCACTATAAAGTAAGTTCACAGTATAGATTGTATCATTTGTAGATGTGTATGATTTAGTGCACGCAATATTTGCTTCTTTTGATATACTTTGGTATGCAGGTAATGAGGACATACGAAGACAGTTTCATGTAAGTTTGTACTAAAACTCAGATGTATGAAAGCTGAAATAGTCCCTTGTCAGCTTTGTTTCACCTGAGCAGATTGAAGCACTTCAGTGTGGCTGTTGGGCTGAGGGTATGAAAAAAGGGGCAAGCTATCTCTTCTGTCTACTGCTCCTTAGGTACGTTCTCTTTGGTAGAGGGGGAAGCTGTAGCTCTTAGGAGGGTTTTGTTGTTGTTTTCTTGGCTCATTGCTCATTTTAAGGAAACTTCTGTAAGTGATTTCTTGGCAACTGGTGTTGTATGGTCACGAGCAGCCTACTGCCCTTATCATGGTACATAGCAAAATGGAGCCAGTATCTTCCTGCATATTTTGATGTCCACACTTTCATTTCTCTGTTGAATTAAGAAAATCTCACTGTATTACCTGCCTAACTCCTAGTGTAGTGTAACTTGCTCTTGGTTTCTAATGGATTGCTTATGAGTGAAAATGAGGGAGTAATTTTTTTATGTTCTACCTGTAAGGGGTGAGATAGAAGATAATATGACAAGTATGGAAGACAATGAAAAGGCAAATTGTCTGTGATTGAAAGAAGTGTCAGATCATGGCCTAATAAGAGAAGAGATTTATAGGTACAGAAAAGCTCAGCTGCAAGGTTTGGGCTATAAAAGTTGTTCTAACACAATTGAGGAGAATTACGGCAGTGGAAGAAAAGATGATGTGGCTCAAGTTAAATGCTTGATGGGCTCTTCTGGCACTGATTTATTTGAGTAGTTTTAGAGTAAGCGAGACAGAGAGGTTGACAGCATTGAAAGACAAAGGTCTTGGACACACTTCAAGGGTGGGAAATAGTGCCCTGATCTAGTCAGTGTGCAGCCTAAGCAAGCAGATGCTAAAGAGATGTAAGGGATCTTCATCAGTTCATTTAATCACACAGATAAGGCTGTTATCAAAGCAGGTATCTTAAACCGAATTTGTTTGCTTATCCTCGTCCCTAGAGCGTCTGTCTATGCTGCAATTTAAAAACTGCTAGTCTGAGGTATGAAGTACAGTAAAGGAAGAGGGGCTGTTGGCCCCTTCCTGCTCAGAAGTGGTGAGATGGATGGTGGTGGCTGCTGCTTTGGCTTCTGCAGCCTGCAAAACATTGACTCCACAGCTGCACAGATAAGGAATTTATCATTGCTACGTGGCTTGTTTTTAACTCCTTATGAAGATAAACAAGTGGAAAGATTTAAATAAGTATTTGTTGTGACACAGCATTCAGATGTCTGTTACATGCCACGTTATGGTTAATTATTAACTACTCAAGGTTTGTGCTGTATGTTGAGGGTATTTTTTGTGTGATACGTTTTAAGGATCTTCTCTGTAGAGGAACAAGAATACTTCTTGCCAGTACTACTTGCCTTGGTTCTACATGTGTATTTTGAATGTGGGGAAAAAAAATCAGAGCACAGTAAAGTTACAAAATGAGAACTGTAATCTGAGAACAAATTAATTTAAAATCAGTTTGTAGCTTAAGTATTATAAATGAAACGCATATCTCATGGAATAGTAACATAGAACAACCAACCAAAAATGCTTATAAACTCAAGTTCTGTTTCCTTAATAAGTAATTTTCAGTAAAAGCATTCCCAGAGGACTGGAAAGAATTGTCTAGCCTTACATTTACTGTTGCAAATTCAAATTCAGGCAATGGTAATTGTAATTGAAAATAACATAATGGTTCTTTTTTGGCACAGATGAATTGAGCAGACAGTCTATATATAGTCTCACTGGATGTGCTCTTAAGATACGTAACACAAAGATAATTGGCAAAAACTGAGAACTCGGACAGTGGCAGCAGAGGAAGGAATTTGAAGTTACCCAAAAGGGCTGAAGTGCTGTGCGTGGAGGAGCCCTTACTGAGCGCTGCAGAGTTCTTGTCTGTTCTCCAAATCAATTCAGACTGTTTAACTTCTGTACCTTCCAGGAAGAATAACACGTGCTTAAATCACTCTAAGTTCATTTTGTTTCGGTATTATTTTCCTAAGTTCCTTGTTTCTGTGAGAGTCACAGACATAACGTTCTGTCAGACATAATTCAGTGACCACATAAACACAGCTTGAGACTTGCACACAGAACATGAGAAACGTTTTTTTCTTTCAAATCCCAGTGTCCTCACACTGCTGCTATATTAAGAACTTAAATCAGAATGCAGTGAGCTGAAATAAGGCATCGCTGCAACAGTCTGTGCTGTTGGAAGTGTTGTGGCTGCTGCATGGCTGTCGGCACACAGGAGAGTCCTGGTGCAGCCCCAGCTTTGGGAGAGGCCCTGAGTGCTCGTGTCAATGCCTCTACCACTTCTAAAGCTGTGCTGGGACTCGATGTATGTTCTCTAGGCATTGTGCTCCTTTTTGTGACAAAGGCCTCATCTGGGATTGTTTCCTTTCCCTTCTGGTGTGATTTTTTTTTTTTTTTTACCTGTAAGGGAAATGGCCTTCGTCTTTTCCCACCCCCACTGCTGATGGAGAGTAAAGGGCACTTCAAGAATCTAACTGTGGAATGGCCGACAGCTAGAAACTGTGTGGTGTTTCTAAATAGCCTTTTTTCTGAGGAATTGCCTTTTCAGTAAGGAAAAGCTAAAGTTCAAAGTCGTGACTAAAAAAGTCATGTCAACTGTATTCAAGCATGGCAGCTTTTTGCCTCTCTTTCCTAAAACTCAAGCTTGCACCCTGATCTCATGTGCTTGTGGTATCACACTTTTCCAAGACCAGATATTTTGTGACTGTTATCTCCTTAATGGTAACTTGAGTTTTTGTTACTGATGCTCCCTTTTCCTGCGCTGTTTAAATACGAAGTTTATGAATTGAAACCCTTTGATTTGTATCTTTGTAAGAGGGACTTTGGGCTGATCATCTTCTGGACAGCTTTTCTGGTACGCTTATAAATCTTTGAATTACCGAAAAATGTGTGCCTTGAAAAATAGCTAGTGGGGGTACTTCTCCATTATTTATTCCTTTATTCCTGAGCTGTACTCAAGTCCCACCACTGCCCACTTGGTGTTGGTGGTAATTTCAGGTGATTTTTAAAGCAATTAGTCAAATCTATCACCTCAACAACTGCATCCGGCCCTGCGATTCTCGCTGGGGTTGGTCTCTCTAGGGCCGTGCACATCAGTCGGTCCAGGGCAGAGCCTCACTGCAGGGGGCTCGGTGTTCCCCTGGGCTGTGTGGGACTTGGGGTGAAGCTGCACCGTCAGTCTGTGGCTGTCATCACCAAACGCTGCCGGGACACGTTGTAAACTTTCGACCTCACAGAATGCTTGGAACTGAAGCACACCTTTCTAGTTCCAAACCCTATCTGAGCTCCTGCTTCCTGAGGAGGAATCCTGTCCTGCAATGGGCTGGAACCTTTGTAGCTGATATCATGCGAAAGATGTTTTAAGGCTGTGCTATGAAAGCACTGCAAAAATAAAATTGAGCCCGATTAGAAGCTGTGCTACTCCATTTTGCTGTTTGCTGCGCCGCGTGCGATGTGCTTTTCCATCTGCGGCAGCGGTGCCCGTACAAGCATGGCAGCCAGGCGCTCCGTTTCTCTCCTTCGGCGCCGCACGGGGGGCCGGGCAAATCCCCTCAGCCCTCACGCAGCTGCAGGGCACGTTAGGAGAAGGGGGACGCGGCGGCGCGGCAGTTACCGACGCCGGCACGCCGTGCCTCGCGCGAGGGGAACCGGAGCGACCGCCGCTCCGCGCCTCCGCCTGCGGGCGCCGCACCCCGTGCAGGGCGGCCCCGCGCACCTGCTGCCCGCCGGGAGCCGGCGCCCCTCAGCGCGGGGCCGGGGCCGGGCGAGCGGGGACCGCGCCCCGAGAGAAGCCGCGGCGGCGGCCAAGAGGAGTGGAGCCGCGCGGCGCACCGCCACTGACAGCTCCCGGCCGGCCTAGCCACCGCCCCCCCCTTTATTGCGCGCGGCCCGTGTGCCGGCGGCCCGGCCGGGCCCCGCCTCGCCGCGCTCGCCAGGAGGGGCGGGGGCTGTGGAGCGACGGCGGCGAACAGGCAGGCGCGGAGCTGCCCTTCCATAGGAGCCGCCATTAACGCTGGGACCCGCTGACAGGGTCTCGGCGGCGGCGGCCGGCGCGGGGAGCGGAGGCGGCCGGGGTGGGTCCCCGTTTGATGGATCCCCGGATCGCCTGGTTCCAGCCAGAGCAGCTCGGCCCCTCGAACCGCCTGTGGATGCAGATCTGGGAGACCACGCAGGGGGTCCGCAACCTCTACTTCCAGCAGCAGCAGCAGCAGGAGCAGCAGCAGCAGCAGCAGCAGAGCGCCCCCGCCGGGGCCGGCCCGGCCTCCCCGCCCGGCATGTACCGCGCCCCCCGCGCCGACCCCCAGCCCGACTTCCTGCCGCTCGAGAGCGCCAACAACCAGCACAACCGCGGCCACCGCCAGGCCTCGCCGCCCCCGGGGGCCGCCGCTTGGGCCCGGCCCGCGCGGGGGGTGCCGCCCGCCGCCGCCGCCGCCGCCGCCGCGGCCGCCAGCAACAAGAGGAAGCGCGATAACAAGGCCAGCACCTTCGGGCTCAACTACAGCCTCCTGCTGGGGCCCCCCGGGCAGGGCCGGGCTCCCGCCCTGGGAGACGGGCCGGCCGCCAGGGCCCAGGCCGGGCCGGCCGAGCCGCTCTACACCGGCACCCCCTGGAAGAAGAGGAACTACAGCCAAGGAGTCGTAGGGTGAGCGCCGGGCGGGCGGCGGGGAACGGGGCCTGCGGCCGGCCGGGGCCTCAGGGAGGACGAGGACGAGGAAGCGGGGGGCGCCGGGCCGCGACACCTGAGGCGGGCGGCGGGGCGCGGCCCGGGCCCGGGGGCGGTGCGGGGCGGCCGGGCGGGGCCGGGCCGCGGTGGAGGGCAGCGCTCCGCGCTCCTGCGGGTACGAGGCCCGGGCCGAGCGGCGGGCCGGAGGGGCGGCTCCGGTGCGGGTGCTGGAACCGGGGAGGGGGAGGAAGGAAGGAGGCGTTCGCTCGAGGCCGAAGCGGCGCGTTCCGCCGGCGGCCGAGAGGTGTCCGTGTGCATGCTAATGGGGCGGGCACGCCTAGGTGCGGGGACGGGATCTTCTCGCACGCTCGTCTCGCTGTCACTGCGTGTGCACGTGGTGCGTGCTACACACGGATCGCCCGCGGAGCGCTTGGAGATCGCGCGCCGCCGCAGAGTCTCGGCGTGGCCGTGCCCGCGCGTTCCGTCTGCGCGGGTCCCCGGTCTCGCTTTTTGCTCGGCCGGCGGTGCGGCTCCGCACGCTGCGGGGATGTGGCACGGAGCCGCCCGCAGGCGAGAGGGCGGTGAGCTGTGCCCTGGGCACGCTGTGCGCCGAACGCGCGCGGGGCGGCAGCTGGGACCTAAAGGTGTACTGGTGATAAAGGAGGGCGTTCGTAGGGAGCGACGGTGGGGGCGGTGCGTTTTCTAAGAGAGGTGACAGAAAAGGTGCGTTCCTATGCTGCCTGCCGTTCTGAGCAAGGAACCCGTCTGTGTATACAGCATTATGGATTTCGGTATGGGATTATTAATGGTTTTCATGGATCTCTGACTGTGGAATGCGAGTGCTGATCTGAGGATTTTGTCCATATTGTTTCTCTGTTAGCTTAGGTCTCATCCCTTGGTGTTGTTGAGACCACAGAGATCGACAGCAGGCAAACACGAATCTTCTGTCCAAAGCCCCTCCTCGCTCCTTTATTTAAACTTGTGAATGACTTCTGGTATGGGTGAATCCCTGGTTAAAATCCATTGATAATTTCTGTGGTTTTACTTTTTATTTTTAAAGTTCATGCTCTCGGAATCCATCCTTTGGCTGTGACCCATTTCTCCCTCCTCCCCAGCAGCAGTATACTGACACATGTTTGTTAAGTGTGGATTTGCAGTGCAGGGTGTAGCGCCCTTTCCAATCCTTCTCGCTTAGAAAACATCAGGCCTCGTCCCAGGGTTCAGCTGGCCAAGGTGTGTGGGGACAGGAGGGGTGGGAAGGACTCGGTTTAGAAATCAGTACTGATGTGAGTGGGTCGTGTTGGTGCACCCAACTTGTGCCTACGGGTCCTTCTGTGCCTCCCACGGGAAGTGCTGACCTCCTGCCTACTGAATACTGCCCTCCTGTAAGAAGTGTCAGAACAAATATTCAAAGTTGTTGGTTGCTTTGGAAAAGAAACTCTTACAGCCCCAGGCTCCCTATTTTCTTGCCAGCCACTCTGTTACCTTTACTGCTGGGTTTATAATAATTTGTAAAGTGACATTGCAGAATTGTGCAGTTCTGAATTCTGTGGTCACTCTCTGTGTTAGAGCCTCCACGATGTCCTTCACAAGACTTACGGGTAGCACGTTCCAAACACACTAAATCAAACATTTTTAAAGTTAGTTTTTGGACTCTAACACCTTCCAGCTTGTCATTTATTTACTTGGTTGTTGAGGATTGCTTTTAGAAGCCCTTCTTTCTTGTAAATCTATAAACCTTTTCTCCATGTTGAGGAGACAAAGTGGAAAAAGGGGCTTAGCTGCATCAGAAGCCACAAGGTAATAACTGCACCCAAGTGTTCAAGGCGATGACTGTTGCAGTAGGAGAGTTTCACCTGAATCACTTTCACACTCAAAGTTGGATGCCCAGTGTAGACTTCTGTGTGTACTGGGCTGTCAGGTTTGTGGTGCGCAGTTATGTGATGCTGGTCCTGTTTTAGCTATTTCCTTTGTTCAGGGTGGGGTAAGGTCTTTAAGATATGTCCTTAAGATATACCCCTACTTGTTAGGTTTTTTTGTTGTTGTTTTTTTGTTTTTTCTGAAATGCTGTGCTCTTAGGAAAGCACAGACAGCCCTTGGGTGTTTGCAGGGTGCCTGCCTGGCTGCCACTGGGGCATGGTGGAGCATGCATTACTGCTCGGCTGCGCACTGCATCGCTGCCGTGTGCCTTCTTCGCCAGCAGCTGCTGGTGGGCTTCTGTCCCATGTCCTAGAGCACCGTGTGGCACTGATGGACAGAGAGCTCTGTAACCCAGAAAATGAGGCTGTTGCTAAAGTGCATATTTTAAATTACGTATTTGCAGTGTGGGTTCCAGAATTTGTGTTGGTTAGTCCTTGCATGCACTGGGTAAAGGAAGATATGTAGTTGTATTACAAAGCCTTACACTGGTGTTAAAAATATCCTTTTTCCCCTCTGTACTTGGTTCCATGCAAATGTTACAAATAATCTGGGCTTGCCGCTTTTCCTTGAATACCTTCCCTTATTTTTTTCTGTTGATCACTTTAAATTTTGAGTCTGTTGGATGCTCCCATGTTACTGAGCAGTCGCATTTTCAAAAGGACCGGGCCTGACTTGTTCACATACACTGCTGGGAGCAGACAGTGGAATTCATGTTTCCAGGGCAAGGATGTCACTTGCGTGTCCGTTGGCTCTGAGCACACAGTTCTATTGATCAGCTGTCTGGAAAAACTGCCCGGCAGTTCTTAGCTAGTTGGGCAGTTTATGTAAACATGTGGCAGACAGCATGTAACTTAACTATCTTGCTACTGAGCTGCCTGAAGCTTTAGATAAATGTTTGAGGCATTTCCTTTCACTTGTTTTTATTTTTATTGAGAAACAATATTTTCTCAGCTCGTGCAGTCTGTGTAAGGTGATAACTGAGCAATAACCCACCACTGCATGGATTTCATATCACGACAGTTCTCTTACAGAGCGTGCACAGTATTTGTGAGCATTCGTTGGTGCAGAAATACTGGCTGTGTTCAACATGTGGCCGCTTTGTTTCACTGAGTTAATGGCACTGCTGTGCACATCTTATTCTGGCATGTCTTTAATGCTTTTCCTTACAACAGTGTTCAGACCTCTTGTTCTGTTGATAATGTTTGTGTTATTCATACTCCTCTGCTTTGTGCTGGCACTCTCAGCTTTGAGACATGGGAAGCAGCACTGTAAAGCAGGTGTCCAGTGCATCTGAGTTGCTTTGCACTGTCGGATTCAGGCATGTGTCTTGTGTCCTCTGCTGGCATTGTCAGCAGGCAGCGGTGTTCCGAAGAGCCAACAGCACAGAAAGCTGTGCTGGACCTGGATGATGTTGCTGTAGATGTAATATGTCTGTTTAAAACTGTCACTGAATTTACCTGGATCTGGTTCTCCTAGCAGCAAAGGTCAAGGGTGTAGGTAGATACGTGGTTTGGGGCGTGGGGGGATTCTGTGTTGTTCCCTTCCCTCCAAGGACGGCAGTAAATGCTGATAGCACTGTGTCATAGCTATAAGGGCACAAAAAGCATCTGGGGTGCTAAGATAGGTCCTACAGCTCCTTCCAAACAAGGCTGAACCTGTGTAAAAGAACTGCATAAGGCAGAAGCTTTATGTGAAACAACAAAACCAAAAAAAAAGAAGCAAACCAAAGAAAGCCATGCACCTCATTTTGGCCTGTCCCCTCCTGTTTCTCAGATGCTTGCACTGAAGAAAAGAGCTCACGAGCAGCTCCCAGGATGTGGGTTTGGGGACTTTGTAGGGAACTGGATAATTTTTACTACAACATGCAGTCAAATAGGAAAACCTGACTAATGCGTGAGTTTAGGAATAAAAATGTTATATGTAGTAGTGAGGGAGAGGCTGGGTTATGTTGAAGACTTGAGTATTTTGGAGTACTGAAAGCACACTGATAACAGTGACTTGGACATGAGAGAGAGGCTCCCAGCCCAATGGAGGTGCAGCAGGCTAGCACGGCACAGGGCTTCCCTGGGTGCTGGTCAGGAGGAGGGGATGCTGTGAAGTAGAACCGTAACCACCTCAGGAAGAAGTAGCTTAAAGCTGTATGTGCTTACTGGAGAAGTTCTAATCTGCTATTTTCATGTGGCATTTGTCAGCTCTTTGGGCCCCTTATTGTCTTTTAAGGCAGAAGTTCAGTGTGCAGGTGTGAGCGCCGTGCTGAGCCTGAGCCGAGCAGTGCATGTGTGGCTGCAGCAGGGCTGTGGGCAGCCTGAGCCAGCGAGCCCTGCGTCTCACAGCTCTCACCTGTGTGTGCTGTCAGCCACAGCAGCAGTATTGCCACATGAGCTGGAGCATGGGCAAAGCAGCTGGGTGTACTGTGAGCACAGCAAATTGGTGTACCTGTACTGCTGACCTGTGTGGCTTAGTGCCCAACCTGGGCAAATGTAATGTCATCCTCATTTGCTGTGCTGCTTTTCGTCGTGTACTCTTCAGTGTTTGAATCTAAAGCATGGGCGATACTTGGTTTGCTTGCACTAGCTTGGTGCCTACAAAAGCTTCATGTAAATAAACCAATGCTTGAAGTGCTGGTAAAACAGCAGTGAGGTTTGTGTGTGGCTCTAGATGTGTCATTGGAGTAGTTGCTCATGTTATGGAGCTCATGAAGAAATGTGCGTCAAAACATGGGTTGCGCTTGAATTCACCATGTACATCATGCTCAGAAATTCTATCAGCCCCCTGAAACAGTCTCCCAGAACTGTGCTGTCTCGTCACTTTGTACCCACGTGTGTAAGCCTTAAGGTAGAAGTCCAGGGATGTGAGTTGAGTGCGCATCATTTTCCTGTGTCTGTCAGATGAGATTGCTGTTAGTGTCAGCGTTGTGCTGAGTGTGGTGCTGGCAGGGCCCCCGTGACAGCTTGTGCAGTTCTGGAAGGCGGGCAGCTGGGCTGTGTGGGAGTGGGGTCAGCTATTGCCTGCAGCCTCAGGTAGTGACGGGTTGTTATTCTGGAGGGAGAGCGAAACGG